TAGCCAAGATGAACAATCACAGAAAACAAGCTTTGTTCGCCACCTTGTTCTTTCTCATGACTACAATGGGTATATTAAGCCGCCTGATACTCAGATTGGAGGACGGCCTTCTCAAACCAGCAATTATTTGAGTGATGCCGAAAGAAAACAACTGATTCTAATTCTAATCTGCAGCCAGAATATTTTCTTTCATAGCCACACCACTCTCGTTTGAACGGTCTTGTTCCTGTTCTGGCGTAATTTTTCCGGTGAGTCCACACTGAAGGGAAGCATTGGACTCGAGTTTCGCTCTTGTTAGAACTCATCAGCAGCGCAAATCCAAAGGCCGTGTCGGGATTTGAACCCCGGACATTTGATATGAGAGGCGAGCGTGTAACCACTGCTCCACCAAGGCACGTTGGACGCATCTGAAATATCACATCTGAACAGGCGAACGTGTTCACACTTGAGCAATGTGATTGGTCATCAGTGCTGACATTTATTTTTTATCGTATGATGTTATCTTCAACTTTTATCGGTTGTCGCTTAAGTTTCATTTTCACTCACCTGATCACGGAAAGTTATAGTCATTGGAAAATTATTTAGATCTTCACCAACGGCAGTACAATAGGATACTACGAATTTTCGGAGAATGTAATGTTCCAGAATTCACTAGCATCATCGCAAGTCAAAGCCCCTTTGGACCAGTGGCTACGAAGTTACTGTAGCTAAATATCACTACTTGTGATTCCGATGTCTCCGTTCTATTGATAGCGTAAACAATTCACGCTCCATTTCTGAAGATGTGCAGAGTAAACCTGCCTCGAACCGCTGGTGTGGCGGGTTTTTATGCCAGACGACGCTGCCTGATGCAGCCAAGACCATGTGTAATGTTTGTCATGTTCCGTCTCCAGGCAATGCAAGGTCCATTTCGCAGTGTATTCATATCGGAATCTGCCTAGGAAATCAGATTATGGTGAATTATTCGATCGCACACAAATTACCCAGTCAGCTTAGTTGATCCATTAGGATGACCCCATTCACTAGGTAAGCAGCTAGTTTTCGCCAAAAACTGTCCGTCGCAGTTCAGAATGACTGACCTGATTTTCCAAAAACACACTATACTCCGAAATTACCAGTGGTCAAAGACGTGGAATATTCTTTTGTACTTAAAGCATTACGGCCAATTTTTACCAAAATAAAACAACGTTGGGCGGAATGCCGCGTAGGGCCTGTTCCTCATCAACTGGCTAGTGTCGAGTCGACTCCTTGAGGCGGGAATTCAGAACGGATTTTATCAATTGTGGCACTCACTTCTTCAGCAGGTTTGCCATCCGACTTGATAGTACTACCCAGATAAGAGATCTGTCCAATTTTTCTAATAGTTCATATTACCACCTTGACAGTGCAGTCGCCTGGAGATGTTACTATCCTTTGCATTTCGAAGGTGTCAAACGCGTTTCAGAAATGCAGCGGGCCTTAGATTACGTATTTTGCTTTATAGTTGGATTTGATCAGAACCAAGCGGGGAAAGTTACTTACACGCCTTCGGTCTTTAAGTTTTTCCCACATGGAAGGCTTCGCATCAGGGATAGTGGGCATGGCGAACCTTTCCCCTACAATCAATTGGAATGCAAAAGTGAAGAGGAAAGTTAAGAAAGCGCCACTTCAACTGGCATATTTGATGATGAACGCAGAAGAATTCTCCCGTAGACATTTACGCATCCACAAAAGTTAGCAAATAGTGACTGAAGAAGTGTTATGTCTAGGGAGAGGCATCGTCACACGATCAGCCTTGTTGTATGAATGAATGCCAAGCGGTGAGTATTTCGTAGTTAGTTTAAATATGGGGAGATAATACCAAATTGGCACTCCCGTGTTCGGCAAGAAAAATATATTTATTGTGGGATCACAGAGAGACAAGCGAAGCCAGTCGTCCACGGATATGTGGAGGAAAATGGGTAGTGTGCTCTTCACCTGGGAAACGTTTTCTTGATGTCGTGAAAATAAAACTGCGGTACGGCAAAATTTTAAGAAAGGAGAGGAAATCAATAATGATAAGACGAATCCTTGTGCTCGTTTTTTTGTGTGAAAAAACGCGAAGTACAAACAAATGCTGCGTTTCGCTGACGGGAAAAATCATTTAGCAGCTATCCATATGACATGAAAGGTTGAAACATTGATGTTTATTGTCCAACTCCACAAAGTTGCCAGGCAACATCACAGACGTTGTCTAGGCAAGGGATGGAGATGTTAGTAAAGAGGAAGTCATGTACATGAGTACTGAATTTTCCAAAGCCCTAACCATGAAAGGAATAATTTGAATTTAAATACTCGTTCGAAATCCAAAGACCTACTCCAATAATTGTTGACTAAAATCTTTCAACTTCCCAATCGAATCGAATTCGTACGTTTGTTTCACTGGATTTTAATTGTTGAGTGAACATTTGAAGCTCGTTGAGCAATGCGGAGAGTCCTAATAACTGAACCAAATGCCTGGAAAAATATTCTCAGGTCCTATGTGGCCGACAAATAGGCAAACCCGATAACCATAACCGTGAAGGTTGAGACAAACCATAGAACTTCAGAATCCAAGCCACTAACATTTACTACAAGTCACTGATAATAATAAAATCGGTCTCCAGACAAAACGTGTCTTTACATACCACCCCTAACAACAGCAGTTACCTACGTGACGTTAGGGGTTCCTGCTGGCCAGGATGTGAGAGCAGGTATGAAATCACACGAAAGTTTTAGCGACCTTGCTGTTTCATTCACAGTACAATATCCGCGTTCATAAGCTGAGACAACAAAGCCTCGTCGGCCTAAATGAATCAGTTTTGCGGTAGCATATCATGCTGACTAATAACAATGATAACGGCGATCTAATAAATTAACCCATAAAGTACTAATCGGAGGGGAACGCGAAAATCTCATTGAAAAAACGCGGCTATATATAGGACTCAAATAGTTCTGGTAAAGTCGGGTCTCCTGAAATAATCGTTCGACTTATGAGAAACAGATCAACAGAACTAATGGATGTATGAAACCAAATATGAAGTAGTAGAGTAACGGCATAAAGCGAGGCCCATGAAAAGGAGGAAAACCTCGTTTGCTAAAACCAAAAGACCGTTAACCTGCTGCAAGGCAACTGAATCTCTTGCGAATTTCGTTCACTCCATCGACTCTGACTACAAAGCTGAACGAAGGTGAGCACCGCACAATTTGAGGGCAAATTCTTATTCCGGCAATGAGTACTGTGTGGTGGATTGTTAACATGCATTTATTTTGAGATCAAACTTGTTGGTACCAATCGAGGTTATTAGCTATCGGAAGACGGCGCCACTTTAGGGAACCAGCTCCAGTTTATGAAGCCTTCTTTTGGGACTTGGACAAGGTGACTAGAGCAGTGAAGTTTTTTTCTGCCGATTTAAATTTAAGAAAAGTGTAATCCTGATGTAGCGTTCTGTAGCCACTGAGCTGTACCATTTATCTTGCTATTGAATATTCGTGATGCACCTTGCGCAACAACGGCGTAAGTCAAGGAGTATTATAATTCAAGTGAACCTAAAATCGCTTTTTGTACTCACTGAAATCTCTGTGGACAGTGTGCGCTTGTAAAAAATCCTTAATCGACAGAAGTCTGGTACGGTGTGCTCTTGGGCAGCCCGTACGCCAGAACTGCCTGACATGAGAAAAAAACGACACAAACCGGCCGGATGCATTAATGCTGTTGGCAGTTGGTAGTTCAACAGAAGCCGAGTGGCTAAGTAATGGCGGTAATTTAGCATTTGTGTGCTCTTGGACAGCCCGTCCGCCAGAACTGCCTGACATGAGAAAAAACGACACAAACTGGCCGGATGCATTAATGCTGTTGGCAGTTAGTAGTTCAACAGAAGCTGAGTGGCTAAGTAATGGCGGTAATTTCGCATTATGTTGCGCAATTCATTGTAGAGTTTTGCACATTTGGTCCGATGTTGGGAAGTATGTTGCCATGTAGCTTCTCGTATCCCGTCTTGGATAAGCATATCATTGAGGCTACTGCAAGAAATCCAATGTTATATCATGCAACTACCAGGGTCGTTGAGTGCGACGGTCATGCCGCTCGGTCAGGTACACAAGAGTGCCTTCGCCAACGGAATAACCTAGTTCGCGCAGGTGAAAATACGGATTAAGACGTGATGAAATTTGCTTCAGTTATCCCGTCATATATTTTCACACACTGGTTCAAGAGGTGTCCCCTGCCCTAACTCTGGAATCTCCGGATTCAAATACCAAAGGCTGTATAGCTCAAAAGAACATAAGTGAACATGTCCGCATTTTTAGTGCACAGTTAAACAGATTGTAACTGCGCAGATCTGATTGTTCCTTAGAAGTTCAGCTCAAGACTACATTACTCGCACTGTCGTTTGTTAGCTCAAGTCACAGACTAATATGCACAAATCCCTGTAGCCATCCACACAGACGGAAGCAGTGACCGAGTGCGCTGATGGGATCTAGGGCGTTCATGTGTTTCAGACAAATAAACAATGGATATTTATTGGATGTATTATTCTACATGTATGGACCGAATTTTTTGAGGCACAATTGTTTTAAGCTACGGACATACAATTAGTACACATTTCGTGTGGCTATACTGTCCTTCCTCGAAATTTGTCCATTTTAAAGTCATAAGACTATGGGCCAAGAGAAGTCAGATCTGATCTCATGTGCACAGATCAATGATGGATGTTGTACTTCGTTCTGAGCGATTAAATTGATATGCATCCAACCAACTATAATATCTCAACTACTGAAAACAGAAAAAGTAGGTTGTCTTCAATTGCGTTCCGTCCAAAGTACGAAAGTGCCGCCGGTGTGTGCATCCAACAGATTTACCGAAGGTAGTTAGTACAACAAATAATATTTTGCAGGAGGTCCCCATGTAACAATAGGACGTTTGTTTTTTATGTGTATAAACGCTTCGTAGGAATAACAAAAGTGGTCCAATATTAGTCGTACCTATTCGAGGATCATGAGGTGAGCGCCGTTACCAGACTTTTGATCGAATAGCGCACCGAAAAGTTCGAAAGTGGATTTACGTATTTATCTTTACAGTTGCATCATCGCTTACTGTTGCCACAAAACCAACTAGTCATCCATCTTTAATGGATTAATCCTTTCCCCTGAGATGGAAGCCACACACAATGTTAGCACACTTCAGTCAGTCTTTTTTGTGACTTCCTGCCATGGAAGGTCGGAACAGCGACCCTCCTTGGAAGTGCCTGGGACAAAAGTACAATGAGGACGTATTCTTCTAGTGGATCGGATTCACGTCTTGTGAGAAGCGCAATGCTACTTAATTTCCTCAATACAGACGAGAGGTTTTGTCATGGGTGTCTTCAAGCTCTATCAGCTTCAGGTGATACATCGATGATAGGGTAAGAGAAATAACTCATTTAAGGTTGCAGGCATCTTTTGAACATTCATCGTCCATTAAATGGCCACATTTGTGTGGGATAAAGGCTACTACTAACTGGTGACATCAATTAGACAATGTGCATACAAGCAAGCTGCCAAACTCAGCAAACAGGGTACATCCAATTACGATTCCTTTTGCGCAAAACAGAATAAGATGGTGTCAGTGCGAAGATGTATATTTCTGCGGAGATTTTAGGACAAACCATGGCGTTGACTGACTAGTTTACACTGACTTCAGAGGTACCCTAATATATATGTTCTTCGAAAATTTGAGAGCGCCTGCTTTGACGCAAATTCGCAAGCCTGATATACCCAGTTTGGGAGCGTTGAGCAGTTGTGACGGACGCAAAACTGTTTCGGATGGGCGCCAAACAATTATATGCGATGTGACTTATTAGAAGTTGGGTGCATGATGAGCGCTCCATCACTATTCTCCAGGCCTTATGTGCTATCAATCGGGAGGTTGATATTTCTGCTATTCTGTGAGTGGATGTCTACCGTCCTTGATACCCCAGGATCTTTGTTGGATGGCTTGCAAAGACCAGAGTTGATGATTTATTTAAGCACCTTATTTGCTGTCCGTGGCCTTGAGCGTTCTTCACTGTCAGCGACTGTTACATGTGACTCCGTATCACGGAAAATGTGGGGCCGGGTGTGCATGCGCTTACTGTGTCCTAGTGGATACCGAGGGAATTTAGTTGTTATTTGCGCATGTACTCCAGTTCCGCTCTGTACCAATATACTTTGCCTTATTCACCGCAGCCTGCATGATGAGATTTGACTTTGAGCGCTGAATGTGTAGATCACCACAAAGTGATTATCTGTGCAGCGCAAATGCATAGAAAATAACCATGGCAACAGTATAAACAAGAAAACCGAAAAGGTGGGACAGTAAACCAGACATTTGCGAATGACGTCAAAACCAGTTGAAGATGTTCGATAGCTGAGGGCCCTTGCTTCAGAACAATAATAATGATGATTTTCCTAGCAGGTAAAACGGCTCGATGCCCAGCCCCCTAGAGCCATCCACCTTCTAATCATGCCATACTCTGTTAAACGAGCATTTCTCCTGTCATGAAGGCATGTACCATTCTACGGCACGTAATTCGTTGTTGTATGTCTACTCAGCATGGCCTCTGCTGACCATCGGCAACAACCATGTTGCTTGTATGGGATGACTTCAAGGAACCTGTAACCAGGTGATTGATTGTGCAGAGTGTAATAAATTCAGGGAACCTATTAAGTATCACTAATTTTGAGTGCTTTGAGTGACAACTTATCACCCGCAAATATTAGTGCTCCTCTCGGAGTCTCCTTCAAAATGCTGTGGACTGCATGTCAGACAATGAGTGACTAGAAACAGTGGCGTAAAAGGGATAAACAGGAAATGTGGGTGTAGTCGATGTTATCTGATTTCAATGATGGGATCCCCGTAAACCACCACGCAATATGCACGAAAACTTGCACACGAGAAAGCTCAAAGTACGGCTGCAAATCTCCTCTGTCTGCTGCTCTCCGAAATGTCTTACCTTGACTTAGGAAGACCAGGCAAATCAAAAGGCTTTGAAAACATTAGCTCTGGCTCCAGTTGTTGTACAGTTACCTTTTTTATTTTAAAATTTCTCTGGTTTTAGGTTAATGTGGTACCTGGAGATCCAGCCGAAGTACAAAAACTGGTGTCAGTGAAGTGAACTGCTCAGGAAATTTCGGTTATAGCATAACAACAAGTGTGGTTTAGGCGCCGGTGGGGTGTTTGGGGGGGGGGGTATTTTTTGGCAGTTATGTTGTGATAAAATGCTATCCTTTTAAGAGTAAGCAGGAGCAACATAAATCAGTTCTACAGGGCGTTTGAACTGTGGGAAAATAAGGCTTACTCTCTTCTGGTAAACATCATACTAGATGAACCGTTTGGAATAAGTCCTCTTTTCAAACCCATAAATTCACTTTCTCCAATCAGATGTCAAGTAGAGCATGTCGCTGACGACTGGAATTGAGCTGATACCTTCAAGGAAGACGAATAAAAATGAACCGCTTAAAAGCTGACATTTTCCCTATACCTCATCTTATTAAGACATGGAATGAATAAAGAAAAATGAGGAATGTTTAATGTACCATGGTCAAGAGAACCTGGTCTACGGAAACTGGAGATGCCCACGAAAAATGTATGTAGAAAATTAAAGTGAACAGTCAAACGCCTGTGAACATTTCTTGGCTAAGCACCGACCTAATACTTGTTCATAAATCAGTGAACGAAACCGGTGCTTCACTTGTGACTGTTTCACACTAATGTTCAGTTTTAAACTAACAGTATGTTCCGATATATCATCATCATCATCTACCGTTATCTACTTACATCCGCGAGAATACGGTCAACTCTCTTCAAACCGACATCATTCAGGCTATACTGAAAACATTTACGGAAGAACTTAAAGCTGGGTTGGCAGATATTGACAAGTGCGTCAACCGGAATCTGGGTCAAAATGTCTTCCATAGCATGACAGTTAGGGTTTTCGCACAGACTTCAAACCCGTAATTTCACTGCCGATGCAATACATCAGTTTGGACCTGCAAGCCTGCGTATTTGTAAATGTTTTCTGTATAGCCGGTCGCATTTCCGCATGTGCAGAACTTCATGGACGTGTACCTGCACTGCAAAACACTCCGTTAACCAGGAGTGAAGTGTGCAAATGTGTGATACCGAAGGTTACGTATGACTGAACTACTGAAGAAGCCAGGCCAAAATTTGTTATTTAAATATTTGCAACTGAACCGGAAGTCGTTAGCCAGGTAAAAATGTCATAGGTTTATTAGCAATGAGTTTCAATACCACAGCATGTCCTTGGGCCAGAATGGTTCGAAATAAATGCTGAGCTAATAAGAGAGAACTGGCATATTCAGTTTAGGTGCTGTTGGTCCGGTCACCACAAATTAATTAAAAAGCAATACCTCCTTAAGTAGGGACAACGAGAGCGTTCCCCAAAATCTTCCTTTTATCAAACAGTTATATTCGAATGTTACACACTGAAGAATCAAGTAACTCAACGGGTATTCAGGAAATTCAATTGTTTTCAAGTAGACAGACTCGTTTTTGGAGTCGTGATTTTTTGGCAGACTTAATACTTAATATATATGGTAAGTGACACATCCGGAAGCCTTGCGTTGGGTTAGACCATACGTTTCTACGCTATTTGAAGCAATGCCCGATGATTTTCTGGAGAACATGGTTGAACGGATACATCCTGTTAAGGTATCGATTGGAACTAAAGACAAGACTAGTCTTGTGGTCATTGGGTGAAGACATTGATTCAGCCACCTCAGTATTATCGGAATAATGTAAAACAGAGTTACGCCCATTGTTGTAGCCTCTGCTGAAAAAGTCAGGTTTAATACCCCCATGAGTTTCATTGACTGCAAATAAGCAGTAGATTCATTTGGGGGCTAATACATCTAATAGGTCACCCTTTCATCCATCCCAGAATGTGAAGTGATCATGCGCGTTGCCAGATCCGTACAATTACATATGACTCGAATAGATGCAGTTTTTCAGTGAAGCCACCAGAGGAATGCAGCATGATGTATCCTGGTACATTATTCTCGGCGACGGCCGTTTATAAATCTCAGACAACCTTGTTATAAGTACCTCGCAAAGTGTGTACTAGGTCGATAGCAGGAAATGTAGAAAATATCGTGGCATGAGTAAATGTCAGCAGAACAGCCAAATATATACTGAGCTCTGCAAATTGCAACAGAATTCGCATTTGTGCGTCTTCTTAATAAGGTGTATTTGGCACTCACAGGAGGAGTTGTAAAGTTTATTACAACCTACATAAATCTGTCTGTTACTATATTCTAATCCTACTGTTACGTAAGATTGCTTTAAGCGACCTGTAGAAAAGATCGTCCAGCTCAACCTCGGCAAGAGCACCTAAGCAGCAAATTGTTTTATCGGTTTAAATCAGGCAATTATGTCCTAAGATTCATTCCTTATTTGCGCAGTTTTGTGCTACACAGTCCAAAGACCTTTTACGGGAGTTTGTTGTTGACATTCCGAATTCCAGAGTCGAAAAGTTTGCACAAACCTCAAACCGGTCTCCTCAAACCATTTGAGCCAAAGATGTTTTTCTCAGCATAAAACTACTTTCGTGTCGTTGCACCACATTTTGGGAGATTTCCATCGAAATTCAAGTAACTTCTAACCGTTCTTCAAGGTAAAAAACGTTTGTTTGCCGTTACACAAACTGATCACGAAATGGCATTTTAATTTCGTCGTTTAAATTATTTGGCCAGCACCTAACGACCAGATTGTTAATTTGCATATCTGAGTCAGCTGAAACACGCGCCTAACAATTGTATTTGTTGTGCAATACTTGAGGTTCATAGCTGTTTGCGGAAACAGCCTTACATTGAGACAAGCTACCAGGCGCATCCAAGCCATATGAGCGCATGCACTTCCAATAGAAGTTGTCCACAGGGAAACTGTCATGTACTGAAATTTTGTCATTTGGCTCACGATTGTCACCTGTTAGGGTTAGTAGTTTAAGAATTTACGTCGACAGATTGCTCCTCAGTTCCCCCTTTTGCAGTGCATTTCCACGATTCACGAGTATGTGGTCGTGTGACTCCCCTGGTGAAATCTTTATGCCGGATGATCATATTACGTAGCGCATGTAGTCACTTTTAAAGAGAATGATCTCGCCCTTTTGAAAAGTTTCACTTGAAGTTCCTTCGAAACGCCTCGTGAATCCAAATCTAGATCACAAGATAGTATCAAGTTTAACCATGCGAATTATCTCCACTTGCACTCTAATTTGGTTTTCTTGGGGAAATAATCTGAATCTCAGTTGAAACATCATTTATGATATTCTCTAGCTGAAGTGGTTTTCATGACATTCGAGACATTGCACCTTATGTAATCGATGGTCATTAGTCACGAGGTAGCTGACATTTGATATTTCCTGTAAATCACTGTGATACTAAGTTTTCACGTTTCATCAAACTTGGGGTTTCTTCGTCAGAATGTGAAAGCAATCGTAAGAGTTCGGACATTTGTCCATAATATCAGTTTATGAGTATAGTGTGGGTAGTCTAACGAGTCACTTTTGTTTTATTCTTAACTGCCCTCAAGGTGCCGTTTTTGCCACTGAAGGTGGATCGACAGGACTATAGATAGGGGCAAGTTTTATGTCCTGATTATTATGTGTTGATATTGGGGTAGAATTTTTCATCAATCTCACAGAAATTGAGTACTTTGTTTAACAAGGCTGCAATCGTATCCACAAGCGTGTATGCGAATAGGCTTAGGAAGGGTATGGGAAATATTTCAGGCCTTTAGTAATGTCCGATGTTGAGGTTCTGCTCTAAGTAAGTTAATATACTAGTGGAGTGGACCACGACGGATATGGCGCTAAGCCTGAATGTGTTATAATAATTTAGACTTTTGTCTAACATAGAAACACCACACAAAGTCAACTATCGGCACTTCAGTTACATTGGTTGCTAAACCAGCGAATCACAGTTCAGTGTGAGCAGCGAATTCGATTTGGTGTTTGAGAATTTTTGTGCTTAAGTTTGCGGACCAAAGCTTTTGACCAAAAAATGTTGAGTACAACAACGTTTGTATGGATGTTCATAATCCTTTGTAAGTATTTATCATTCTAGTAGTGGTAGTATCATTACTGACGAATTGGTACTTTGGAAAAAATACTCTTATTTTCAGATTGGAGCTGGCGTCTCGTGGAATCAACAACCGATGCTGAAAGAGACCAAAAGTTAAAGGACTGCGCAATTACGTCAATGCACGATGCAACGGACGGGATTTGTTCAATCCGTAATACACTGAATAGATGGCCTACCATCCAGAAACTCAGTCCTAGTCCTGCAATAGGGTCGAACGTTTTTAGAGCAATTACAGGAGTGATTCAAGAGGTCCACTGAGTTAGTGAGAATTCCACGCTCTACCGGGAGCGTGTGTGCTGAAAAGCACTGCATGCTCACAAAAGCCTAAGAAGCACTGTTTTTAGTGCTACTTGTGGAGACAGTTAAACTGAGAAACCATCAACTTCTTTCATTTGCTGGGTACAGTCCTTGAATTTCCATTAGTGTGAGGTACCACATGAATCCAAACGAAGGACGACTGGTAAAATACACTCATCTGCAAGCAACATCTGTCTTAACCAGGGAATCAGCTGATTTTTTTAGCTGAGACTTTTATTTATTATATTTTCTAGCCAAATGTGCTGCAATAAGTTCGCTAACATTTTTTGGAGGAAATTCGAGACACCAAGTTGCTGTTCCTATGGTGATCTAGCACGACTACAAAGATTTACTGTCAAAAATGCATTTTTATGATTAATCGTCATTTTCAGACACATTCTAATGTGAAACCAAGTTGGTAATGCTTATTACTCAATTCGTTTCGTGAATTATTATAGTGAATATGCTCTTGGTTCTCATTTAACACTACTGATTAACTATCTCACTACAATCAGAAGCGTGCAATATCTACTCAAGAAATTGCCCATGTAAGTCATGTCATGTCGCAAAACGTCACATGTTTCCCTTTTTACGAATGTGTCATGTGCGATGACAATGAATGCTAGTGCTACAACGCTGGTGATTCTACTCGTTTCACTCATTACAAAATACATAACAGTGTTTTTTGTGCATTAAAACAATTTCCTATGTCTACTATTCATCCACTGTTGGTAAATAACTGTGCATACGAAGCTCAAACCAATGTGTGAGGAAGGTACGTCAGACAAGCTTTAGCCCCGTCGCATAAGATTGTGATATGATTTCTGAATTCACTTGAGATAGAATGAAGTGTCCCTTCCAGTCTCAAGATTCAAGAACAACTCAGGTGTCCGTAGACCTTTTCGTGTGGGCAGGTGGAATTTTCCATTCCTATTGTACAATGTGTCAAAACCTACCTCATTGACCTAACCCCCTGATAATGCATTCACAATAGACGATCAATTAGTTTGATTAGACGCAAAGTGTATCACAAATGCTTGCTCTTTAGATAACTGCCGAGTGTACGCTGTGAACGATTGCGTGGGTAAGACTTCTCTCGTCTCAATTACTTTAATTTGTTATGGTCATTGAGCTAAACAAAAGTGTCATTTCAGTGAGGGAAACCTAAAGCGGTAGATAAACCATCGTTTGCTGCATATCAAAGTGACGACCAGTACTTGATGTCCGCCTGAAACAACAGGTTGACCGTTGTTTTGTAACAAACGCCAAGACCAACCCAGGGGTTCGACAGGTCTGGCGTTGTATCAAACAAAAGCATATGTATGTGAAGTAAACACTCATGTTAACACAACGCATTGCGTTTGATGGAGCATACACTCAGATGCAATGTTTCGAACTTTTTGGGCCGCAATGGCATTTCGAAAGTTAACT